CTCGCTCATAATAAAGAACACTTCCCTGTATAAACGCACAGAATCTCGCCCCGTGAGCCAAATCATCAGAGATGCTAGATGGAGGCTGTTTGGTCATGTGCTGCGTTTGGAAGAGGCAGCCCCAGCCAGACGTGCCATGGGAGCTTACTTCTTAGGGGGTAACGGCCCCAGCTTTAGGGGACGCCCAAGAACAACGCTCCCGCGAACGCTCAATAGTGATCTCAAAAAGCTGAAAAATAATACCGCCCTAGAGACTGGCGATGACTTGAACATGCTGCAGCAGCTTGCCCAAGACCGTCGACAGTGGCGGGAACTGGTGAAGGCTGCATGTAGCTGCTAATGAAACAATGGACATAATTTATACCTTTATATATAGATAATGGAGATGACTGCAACAGGCTGCAGCAGCTCGCCCAGGATCGCCCTCAGTGGCAGGACCTGGTGAAGGCTGTATGTAGCCGCTAATGCAACAATGGACATAACTTTGCGTTTCCATCTTGTCTTTTTTTGTGATTGTGATGCTTGATGTGCACTGTGCTTCCTCGCATTCACTTGCTCCTTCTTGCAGCTTGTCTCTTTTTTCTGTTTTGTTTTGTTTTTTGTTTTGTTTTGACGCTCTGTGTGCATTGCGCTTCCTCGCGCTCACTTGCTCCTTCTTGCGGCTTAAGCGAAGGCTATATGTGAGCTTTATAAGCTCACTGATGCTAACGCGAATAGAGCATAATAATAATAATTACACTGGATGGGCAAATGAGTGCAATGTGGTTGTAGTACCCCTAATGCTGAACTGGTTCGCTTGCATACACAGTTGACATGTGCAGCCCAAGAGAGTTTGCAGTCAAACATCACACCGAGATGTTTGTGCTGAGTAACAACACGGATAGGCATAGTCGAGTCAGGGAAGTATAATGGTTGATCAGGAGGGGATGAAGAAATATACATGGCTTCTGTCTTGTCTAAATTGGGCTGGAGTTTCCACTTTTGCATCCACATGACAGTGCTGTTGATGCGATGCTGCATGGTAAGGAGTAATTGTGCAGGGGAGGAATCAGAACAGATAAGGCCAGTGTCATCCGCATACAAACTAACATCGGGGACAACTGAAGGTAGGTCATTAACGTAAAGCAAGAATAACAAAGGACCCAGAATGGAACCTTGGGGCACTCCAGACGTTACAGGGAGGGATCAGACAAGAAAAAGGACAAGCGAACAGCCTGAGAACTAGCAGACAGATAGGATGATATCCAACGCAAGGCAGCATCCTTCACCCGGAAGGTGACCTCCAACTTGGCAAGTAGGCCACGATGCCATACGGTGTCGAATGCCTTAGCCAAGTCGAAAAACACCATTCCCACGTGCTCCCCACAGTTCCTCTTTGTTGCTATGTCTTGGACAAGTCAAGTCACCTGGTATTGAGTTGAGTCACCACGGCAGAATCCCGACTGAGCTGGTGAGAGAGCTGGAGCGATGTGCAGGTAGAGGGAATCGAATACAATACGCTCACAAAGTTTGGAAACTGTGCAAATAGCACCAAAGGGTGGTTTTAGCAGATCCTTGACCATATGATCACATACAACCGTTGGGCAAGAATCGCGAATTTGGCGCGGGTAAACATTGTTGCACAGATTACACAAACACTCTTCAGAAAATGTCCTTGATACTGCTCATTCCCTTTCATTTTCCTGCAAATTGCCCCAGAGGAGCAATCGCGGTCTGACGGCCAAGGAAATACTACTTGGTCCGCGCCAGCAATATTGTCGCTTATCTTTCGACAATTTGAACTTAGACTTTGGACATGAACGCGTGCACTTGAAGTGATAAAACTTGGTGCGATGGACGGTAAGGTATAGAATGACAACTAGCTGTAAGGAATTTATTGTCCAAGGAAGGGTTCCTACTATTTTCGGTCCTCTTCGTCGCTGCTCTCGACGCTGGTGACAAATATTTTTGCTCGGGTTCCACTCTCTTGCTTTTGCAAGCTCATCTCTCTTCCTCTCCGCTGCCTGGCTATTTTCTAAAGAGAAGTCGATCGTGACGGTCGCCTTCTTTATAGGACTTCGCGTGGGCAGTACCACAGCCTGTGTGGTTCAAATCAGACGCCGTTCTTTGCAAGATTTTATTTTGAACGACGACGATGACGCGTACAGTACTTGCAAATCTCCACGACGCGCTGGATACTCCGAGCGTTGAGTTGGAGGCAAGGGAGCTGAGATCTCAGCTTGACGAGCGATCCCTGAGGAGCGATCTCGGTCGTTCAGCAAAATGGAGCTGATTCCGAGTAGCCGATTACTTTCTTGTGGCTTGCGCTGTTCTTGCCTGCACAGCGTAACAAGATAATCTCTTTTGATTCGGCGCTGTATCAATCAGAATCACCCACCCGTCGCTCTCGAAATCCACTCGAACTGTAGCTAGACCTTTCAGGAACAAAGCTGAAAGATAAGCGACAATATCGCTGACGCGGACCAAGTAGAATGGATGTAGCCTACTACCATGCATGAATCTGATGACCAAGACAGCGAAATTGCCCACTTTATCTTCATTTGGTAGATGTTCAAGTGTAGTGACCATTGGCAGTGGTGGATCTGTTCTATCATATGAGGGCGAATCGTACGGTCACAACAACTGAGTACCTGTGGATTCAGAATGTATTGAGGTTTACGAGCCTCCAGAGAGAGGACAAGGATTGCGGGATAGTCCAGACAAGGAATTATCAGAAAAAGTTGCAGGAGTGGTGGAGACCCCGAAATGGATGGTGTTGAGGAAGAGGAATCGCAACTCTGCAACCTGGAGATGGTACACCGCATTATCGCAAGGATGATCCTGTGTAGATAATCTTTTCTAACAACTTTACGAGCTAATAAGGCTCTTGAACCAAAATCTTCCTCCCCCACTTCAGGCTAAACGGGTAGGCAGCCGCTGGGATGGCGTCTCTCTCTCTTCATTGGCTCCGGATGCTGCAGAAGGTGATCGCTACGTAATAACTGATACCACCATAATCAGTGCATTACTGGTCAAGAAACTGATGGAGAAGAAAGAGTTGCAGTATGAACCACTCTGGTAAATCGAAGTGAACTACCATCTAACTTCATTGCCAATCATCGCGGATTGCATTTTGTTTTCAAGATTACATTGTAGGGTGCAAAGACGGTAGACGTAGAAGGAATAAGTAGGAAGAATTAACCATGGTCCGCCTAGTGTAGACCACCTAGAGCCATATGTTTTACATGATGAGAGTAGGAAGCCCCACATCGTCCAATTCTAGCAAAAGACAAGATATGTCCTTGACCGTGTCGATCGAATGTGGTGGATCTACTCAACAAAGATTATTCAAGAAGAGGTACCCCTGCAAGCCTGTTACATAAATGAATAGATGGGACAGGCATCAACGCCTTCACAATATCCCAGAACTTTGCTAATTCATGCACATCCAGAAAACGCTCATTCCCTCACTGGTCAAAAAGCTTGTAGATAGTCATGGCATCTGGTTGCTAAATGGCAGCCAAGGAGAAGAGAAGGGTACACCACTTTGAAAGAGTCTAAAATGCAGTCGTCACTAGCCTAATATTGCAACCATTTCTAGCAGCATATGTGTCAGCTTTGTGAAACCACGATGCTCATAGTCAGTCAGGGTTTGCACTTGTTACCGTGTGTCATTCATCGTGACGATCGAGAAATCTGATTATGCCAAAGCACATATTCCCAAAAAGCAGTTCCTCATGTGCCAAGTGACGTTGAAACATTGCTTGTTATTGTAACTATGTGATTATACGAAAATACTTTGCAAGTAATTGCAGTTTTGCCAGTAATTGAGTTCATCCTTCGCAATTGCCGTTACGCGTACATTGTACTTTAGTTGCATATAGCCAAAAATTGTGTCTGGGTGAATCCTAATGGGTTGTGTACATCATAAATGCCGATAGTGATAGCCAGCACCGAAAACAAAAACTATAGTAACCTACATCATAGGTCTTAGACATGGAAATGCATGCAGGTGTCAAATGACACCGTTTGGCCGTTCTTGGAGTACTGAAAGTGGTGGCCGTCCTAGGGTTAAAGTTTGGGGCTTTTCGTACGTGAATCCTGAATTGGAACTCAAGCCAGCTACAGCAGGGTCAAATTCCCTGGGGCACTGCCTACGAGTGCAAGCGGCCTACTAGCAAACCAAAAATCTAAGCAACTCCAGCACCCACATTGCAGCTGGGCCAATTTACCCACAGGTACATTGAAAAGAACACATGTGCACAAATGGTCGAAAATTCACTATTCTCACCTTTCCGACTGTTCACAGCTGCAACATGGACAGTGACCACCGTGATTTCCTGCAATAGGCACACAAAGGGTAGTGCACAACAGAATTGACACACATTGTCATAAACGACTTGCCCAGGGCTGCTGAACCCTTAAAATACCCTATGTCAAAGTTTGGGGCTTTTCGCCCGTGAATCCTGAATTGGAACTCAACCCAGCTATAGCAGGGTCAAATTGCCTGAGGCACTGCCTACGAGTGCAACCGGCCTACTAGGAAACCAAAAATCTAAGCAATTCCAGGACCCACATTGCAGCTGGGCCCATTTACTCACAGGTACATTGAAAAGAACACATGCGCACAAATGATCAAAAATTCACTATTTCTCACCTTTCCGACTGTTCCCAGCTGCAACATGGACAGTGACCACCGTGATTTCCTGCAATAGGCACGCAAAAGGTAGTGCAGAAGAGAATTGACACACTTTGTCATAAACGACTTGCCAGGGCTGCTGAACCCTGAAAATAACCTTTGTCAAAGTTTGGGGCTTTTCGCCCGTGAATCCTGAATTGGAAATCAAGCCAGCTACAGCAGGGTCAAATTTCCTGGGGCACTGCCTACGCGTGTAAGCCGCCTACTAGCAAACCAAAAATCTAAGCAACTCCAGCACCCACATTGCAGCTGGGCCAATTTACCCACAGGTACATTGAAAAGAACACATGTGCACAAATGGTCAAAAATTCACTCTGTCTAACCTTTCCGACTGTTCACAGCTGCAACATGGACAGTGACCACCGTGATTTCCTGCAATAGGCACACAAAGGGTAGTGCACAACAGAATTGACACACATTGTCATAAACGACTTGCGCAGGCCTGCTGAACCCTGAAAATAACCTATGTCAAAGTTTGGGGTTTTTCGCCCGTGAATCCTGAATTGGAACTCAAGCCAGCTACAGCAGGGTCAAATTTCCTGGGGCACTGCCGACGAGTACAGGCGGCCTACTAGCAAACCAAAAATCTAAGCAATTCCAGCACCCACATTGCAGCTGGGCCCATTTACCCATAGGTACATTGAAAAGAACACATGCGCACAAATGGTCAAAAATTCACTATTTCTCACCTTTCCGACTGTTCACAGCTGCAACATGGACAGTGACCACCATGATTTCCAGCAATAGGCACACAAAGGGTAGTGCACAACAGAATTGACACACTTTGTCATAAACGACTTGCCCAGTGCTGAAGAAACCTGAAAATATCCTATCTTAAAGTTTGGGGCTTTTCGTACGTGAATCCTGAATTGGAACTCAAGCCAGCTATAGCAGGGTCAAATTCCCTGGGGCACTGCCTACGAGTGCAAGCGGCCTACTAGCAAACCAAAAATCTAAACAATTCCTGCACCCACATTGCAGCTGGGCCCATTTACTCACAGGTACATTGAAAAGAACACATGTGCACAAATGGTCAAAAATTCACTATTTCTCACCTTTCCGACTGTTCACAGCTGCAACATGGACAGTGACTACCGTGATATCCTGCAATAGGCACACAAAGGGTAGTGCACAACAGAATTGACCCACATTATCATAAACGACTGGCCCAGGGCTGCTGAACCCTGAAAATAACCTATGTCAAAGTTTGGGGCTTTTCGCCCGTGAATCCTGAGTTGGAAATCAAGCCGGCTACAGCGGGGTCAAATTCCCTGGGGCACTGCCTACGAGTGCAAGCGGCCTACTAGCAAACCAAAAATCTAAGCAACTCCAGCACCCTCATTGCAGCTGGGCCCATTTACCCACAGGTACATTGAAAAGAACACATGGGCACAAATGGTCGAAAATTCACTATTCTCACCTTTCCGACTGTTCACAGCTGCAAAATGGACAGTGACCACTGTGATTTCCTGCAATAGGCACACAAAGGGTAGTGCACAACAGAATTGACACACATTGTCATAAACGACTTGCCCAGGGCTGCTGATCCTGAAAATAACCTATCTTAAAGTTTGGGGCTTTTCGCCCGTGAATCCTGAAAGTAACCCTTTATGTACCAGCCATCTAATGTATGTAAGGGGTGATCGCAGCCAAAGAAGCAACCATGGTATGAAATCTAGACAACTTTTGCAGATGCAAGTTGTGTTTTCCTGACTCTGTATGTGTCACTGCACCCAGGTAAGCACGGATATTGGGACAGCATGCAGTAGTATATGAAGGCCATAGGTGGAATACCAAAGATACGCGCCAATTGTGCATATTTCTGACCAACCAGGGTATCACAAACAAATAGATTGAGAATTAGTTTGTGCTCATGTACTGGGAACATAGGGACAAATGAACCTCATAAGCGTTGTCTCAGTGCGTGAAGAGCAACAACATACCAGGGATATGGTCATATTGTCACATACTTGAGGTGAAACAATTGGTTCAAAATTGCAAATTTTGAATTCTTGTGTCAGATTTGAAATCTATGTTTTTCTTCATCTACTCACATCCAGCGCGAGGTAAGTGAAGGAGAAGACAAGAAGCAGTCTCTGGCTGGTGAATCACGCCTGTCTTGACGATTTTAGGCCATCGCTGCCCTCCCTCTCGCTCCTGTTTTGAGAGCGAATACTGCGATGGATCAGCGATACAAATTTGCAATTTCGAGTCGCATTCCGTGCCGACATCGCCACAGCCGATCTCTCCAAGCGTCCACCACATCTAGAAGACGTCGACATGACCTAGAACAAGCTACATCTTCGCTACAAGCAGAGAAACTGAGCGAGAACACGATCAATTGTTTGCACTGAAAAGCACACTTTTGAACGCGTTCGTTCTCCATACTTTCAAATGGCAACCTACCCATATCATACATCAAAATTTTCAGTACTGACAGTAGGATCTCAGCTGTCCAGCGCAAAAAAACCGCGAGTCGATCGGAGCTACGGTGGCGGGGACCGGCGCGCTTGATTGGAGTGCAGCGAACCGTACCATGATACGGTTCGAGATGGGGCTGGTAGATTTACACAACGGGGTAAAGGTTGGGGCTTTTCGCACGTGAATCCTGAATTGGAACTCAAGCCAGCTACAGCAGGGTCAAATTCCCTGGGGCGCTGCCTACGAGTGCAAGCGGCCTACTAGCAAACCAAAAATCTAAGCAATTCCAGCAACCACATTGCAGCTGGGCCCATTTACCCACAGGTACATTGAAAAGAACACTCGTGCACAAATGGTCAAAAATTCACTATGTCTCACCTTTCCGACTGTTCACAGCTGCAACATGGACAGTGACCACCGTGATTTCCTGCAATAGGCACACAAAGGGTAGTGCACAACAGAATTGACACACATTGTCATAAACGACTTGCCCAGGGCTGCTGAACCCTGAAAATACCCTATGTCAAAGTTTGGGGCTTTTCGCCCGTGAATCCTGAATTGGAACTCAACCCAGCTATAGCAGGGTCAAATTGCCTGAGGCACTGCCTACGAGTGCCACCGGCCTACTAGGAAACCAAAAATCTAAGCAATTCCAGGACCCAGATTGCAGCTGGCCCTGAGCTGGGCCCATTTACTCACAGGTACATTGAAAAGAACACATGCGCACAAATGGTCAAAAATTCACTATTTCTCACCTTTCCGACTGTTCACAGCTGCAACATGGACAGTGACCACCATGATTTCCTGAAATAGGCACACAAAGGGTAGTGCACAACAGAATTGACACGCATTGTCATAAACGACTTGCCCAGGGCTGCTGAAACCTGAAAACAACCTTTGTCAAAGTTTGGGGCTTTTTGCCCGTGAATCCTGAATTGTAACTCAAGCCAGCTACAGCAAATTTCCTACGAGTGCAAGCGGCCTACTAGCAAACCAAAAATCTAAGCAATTCCAGCACCCACATTTCTCAGCACCTGAATAATGACCATCTTGATCTTGTTTTATAGCTGGACATAGGGAGGTGCACCAAGAAAAAAACCCACATTTCTCTAAACAACTCGCCCAGGGCTGCTGAAAGCTGAAAATAACCTATCTCCAAGTTTGGGGCTTGTCGCCGTGAATCTTCACTTTGCGACTAAAGTCTTCACAGCAGTGCCAAAATTTCTAGGTCCTTGAATGTGGGTGCAAGCGGCCTACAAGCAAACAAAAAATGAAATCAATACGACCACTCACATTACAGCTGAGCTGGGTCATGTTATAGAGAGATGCATTAAAATGGACAGGTGGTCAAATATGGTCAAAATTTGACAATTTCTCACCTTTCTTCCCGTTTCAAGGTCAGAACATAATTAATGACCATCCTGATCCTGTTTTATAGCTGGACATAGGGAGGTGGACCAAGAAAAAAAGCCACATTTCTCTAAACAACTCGCCCAGGGCTGCTGAAAGCTGAAAATAACCTATCTCCAAGTTTGGGGCTTGTCGCCGTGAATCTTCACTTTGCGACTAAGGCCGCGGTCACACATGAATAGCTTGCACCGCTTTTGCGGAGGCGGAAAGCGGAACTACCGCAGCCACTTTGGCGGACCACACGATGCAGCGGTCACACATACATGTACACTACTGTGCTCCTCAACGCTCCGCTTTGGCGGAGAGAATGCAAATCTGTCCTCGGGGAAAATTGCGATCCCGCGGCCGCGTTTTTTTCTGCGTTTTTTGCGATTTTTTAAAAGACCGCGTTTTCCGCGATTTTCCCGCGTTTTTTTGAACTTTTTTGTTGCACTACACGTACACACAGTGCACTGTTCGGTCCGCAACGTCTCATCGTGGCGGCTTTTTACTCAAATATGACGAGTGCTTACACCAGAGACGTGTAATTGTTTTTTTTTATTATTATTTTTTTTATTGGGAACACAGCCCTACAAAGAGACATGTGGAGACAAACACAAGACAAGACACAGGGGATGTAGGGACGACGTGCCGATGTACAGGGAGCAACTCGACCGACCAGGGGTCTCGGCGTTAGCGTTGCAACCTGGCATCGAAAAAGGGGGGGGGGTTTGCATGGTCAGGTAGCAAAAATATTAATTTGGTGCGAGAAAGGGGCGCTAGTATTGCACCAAATAATATAAATACGTGTAATGACTAAACCAGAAGGGAAAATGAAGAAAGAGAACTATAATCATAACAAGCAAGTAGTAGTAGAGAGGCAAATACTAAATGGGTCTCAAATCTCAATATCATCGTCACAGGTACTGTGTGGACCACAGCCATCTCTTTCGGATTAGATCCTTACATACGTTGACCTTGAATGTTTGGAGGCGTCTTGAATGAGGCTCGTGAAGCAGGAGGTCCGCAGGCAGGTTGTTCCAGGGTGTGATGGCGAAGAAGGGGAAGGATCGCAGGAGGTAGTCAGGCGCTGTGCGAGGGGGTGTCCACTTCAGCTGAAAGGCATGGTGCGTCTGACGTTTTTGCCGTGTGCACATGCTAGCTACGGCAGGGGGCTTGGTTGGTGGCAGCATGGCCTTTACCTGTGGAGGCCCTGGAATGTAGTGCAGCTTGAACAAGTATGACAGGGCTGCCACCATCCGACGAAGCTGAAGACTTTGGAGGATGGTTCCAGGTCCCAGGAAATGCAGGGCACGTTGCTGAACCTTGTCCAGCTGGGCCATGTTAGTTGCGGCTGCGCTCGACCAGGCCAGCGGGGCATATTCAAGTAGGGGTCGCACGAATCCCTTGTAGACCGTCACTCGACCATGGTCGTCCAGGATGGGTGCTGCCTTTCGTAGGAAACCCAGCCTTTGGGAGGCGCGCAGTGCAACACTGCGAGTGTGCGCTCTGTAGGAGAGAGTAGGGTCGAGCATGACTCCCAGCAGCTTCAGGGTATCTGTCTCCTGGAGTGCTTCACCTCCAAAGGTGACTGGTGGAGTGCAGGGGGGAGTGTGCTTGCGATGTTGAGTCATGCGCTGTGTCTTGGCTGGCTCAAAACAGATACGCCACTTGCGGCCCCACTCCTCAAGACTGTTGAGGGACCCTTGGAGGGAGGCGGTGGACTGTTGGAGATCGTCAGTTGGCTGTACTAAGCTGTAGAGTGTGGTGTCGTCTGCAAAGCTGCTCAGCTGCGTTCCTGGAGTTAAACATTGTTCAATGTCACAGGTGTATAGAAGGAAGAGGCTGGGTCCTAGGATGCTGCCTTGGGGGACACCAGCCTGGATGGGTTGAGCATCTGACGTCTGGCCTCCAACCACAACGCGGATGTTTCGGTTGGTGAGGTAGTCCTGTAGCCATACAAGCAGGCGTCCGTCGACGCCGGCCTGCTTTGCTTTGTACAGCACTCCTGTGTGCGATACCCGGTCAAACGCACCGGCAATATCCACGGCGAGGACCTGGACACAACCGCCAGTACTTATGGTGTGGACCCATTCATGTTGGAGAGCCGTTAAGATATCTGCGGTTCCTCTACCACGTCGGAATCCAAACTGGCTGTTTGGCAACACCTCATGCTTCTCTAGGTAGTTAACCAGTTGCGTGTTTACAATGCCCTCCATGACTTTCGACATGATCGTTAGCAGTGATATTGGTCGGTAGTTAGATGCCAAAGATCTGGAGGACCGTTTGTGAACTGGGACTACATGGGCAAGTTTCCATGCCCCAGGTTGCACACCGGCTAAGAAGCAGAGGGCGAAGAGCTTTGCCAGTGGGTCTGCAAGTTCAGATGAGCACATCTTGAGCACACGAGCAGAGATGCCATCCGGTCCAGTTGCTTTTGATACAGCCAAGTTCGCCAAGTGCCGTTTGACCGTTGCTGCGCGGAAGTGAATGTGCTTTAGCGTGGCATAGGCAGGTCGTTGCAGGTCAGGCAGGTCAGCAGCACAGAGGTCGTTATTGCCAAGGCTACACTTGTTCGCAAAATGAGCTGCAAAGCACTCGGCTTTCCCACGAGAAGAGTGGAACTCTTGTCCTGCAGGGTTGGTCAGCAGGGGGATGTCAGAGCAACGTCCCTTGCCTGCTGCGCTCTTGATGGTTGACCACCACTCTTTGTCCCGGAGGGAACTTGCAGTAAGCTTGTTGCGAATTCTACGTTGATGTGCTAATCGCGCTGCATGACACGCTTCCACTTCGTGGTTAACAGTTGTGATGTACTGGACCTTGTGGTTATCGTTGCGGGGATTGCGTCGCCACAGCTTCCATGCCCGCTCCTTGGCATGATTGGCGTTAGAACAGTCCGGTGTCCACCATACAGGGTTAGATTGGTGCACCACAAGCTCTTTGGATGGTATGAACTGTTTCATTCCATGCATGATGACATCAGTTACGCGCTGACAGGACTGCTTCGCACACCCATGGATCTTGGCAGGCCAGTCTATGTTGCGGAGGTAGGCTCTCAGGCGGTGCCAGTCAGCAAGGGCGTATTTCCAAACCTGTCGAACAGCAGGATTTTCGCGTCGCGGATGCTGTTGGAGAAACTCGGCAATGATAACGGCATGATCAGATCGTCCAAGTGGTGCATAGGCTGTGGTGCATACGGGGTGTGAGAAATCGGAGATGATAAGATCGAGAGTATTGTTGCCGCGGGTTGGCTGGGTGACATGCTGGACAAGATGATGTGCTGCGCAGACTTCCTCCAGGCATTCACCGGCTCGGGTAGTCTTGCTACTCTGTAGCCAGGCTGAATTATGCACGTTGAAGTCCCCTGCAATTATCACATTGCTGCCAAGACGGCGGACATCATCCAAAGTGTTGTCTAGGTAGTCCATCAGGCTGGTGTCTGTCTCTGCACAAGAGCCAGGCCGGTAGAGCGCACCCAGAACAGTCTTTGTTCCGGAGTGCATTGCCAGGGAAATCCATAAGAGCTCGTGATCACGGCAATCTATATCGTCGTGGTGAGTAATGGATAGTTCACTCC